TTTTCGCTCCAGAAAGATTCATCGTATTCACTAAACTGTTTGGTTATTGTGTTGGTATTATACAAAACTTGTTAAATTCATGCAGTTTCTTATAATGTGAATGTATTCAGTGCCTGTGAAGCCAGGCAGCAAAAGATTCCCAATGGCCTATATACTTAAGTGACTGATGGATGCTCCTACAGCATTAACAGTACAGCTGGTTGTAATGGAACAACTAAAAATTAGGCATCAGTATTACGTGGTGACAGTAACTACTGCTTTGATGGGACACAGTGGGTAATTCACTGATAGGAGTTGCCAGCACCATATTAACATATTTGAATTTGGATACCTTGGTACTCTGCCAGACAGTACCCTGACAGTCTTATAATACCATATATGGCCTAGACTGAAAATAGTCATTTACATTGTTTGAAGTGCAGACTATATCAAATGGAATTTTTGAAGTGCAGACTATATCAAATTTAAATTTCATTCTGAAAGTAAATTATTAGGAACATACATTATATAATATTAGAGAAAAATTGGATTTTTCTTAGATGTACATTAACAGAAAGTTGCTTGTTAGCTTGTTACCTTTGTCATTGGTTATAATAGAATTTTATTTCTAGTTTTTTACCTTTCCCAGTTTGTACATTCAAGATTTTAGATCCATTTTTCTCCATGTTTAAAAAGAAACCAGTTTACAACAGATTTTTGGATTTTGTTGACCCCAATTACTTGTTTTGTTGAAGATACTGTACTCAGTTTTCAGTGAATCTAAAAATCTAGCCAGACTTTGTTTTCAACTATTTGTGTAATTCTGGTAATATGCATGGATGTGAATTTTCCTGGTAGCCCAACTTTTAGAATGTGCCTCCAAATTCTGTACCTTTACTGTGTTCTACTGAGGTCAGTTTCCAAGACCCCTGTGGCTTTTGTAGCCTTCTACAGTTTGGGGCATAGGGGTGGTCTGCAAGTTCTATTAATATATATCCTCTATTTTTTAAAGTTATATCAGTACAAAATAAATTGTAAAAGAGCTAAGTAGTTTTACTTTGCACTGAAATATTAAAAAACTTTTCCCAACTAAGATGGCCTTGTTTAGGTCTTAACTATAAGTAACAAAGTTTCTTTAAATTGTAATCACATCATGGTAGGTTCACATGTCTCATCTGCCCCTTCACCAAAAATATTGGTAGATTTGTAGCAATAGATTTTAAATAACATGTTCTCTGAGAAGATAATACATGGTGGAGGATAGGTATCAAGGGAAAGATCCTTCTTAGTCATACCATTGTAAATTCTTACATCCATTTATAGATCGTATGCTAGGGATTAAATACTGTGGGAGTGTTTAAAATAGGGCAAAGAAACAACTGGTTTTACTAAAGCATTATTTAGTTATGTCAATGGGTTTTGAATTACCTAATTACAACATTTTTTAACATTTTCTATTAAGGCAATAAAAGTCTAGTAATTTGTGGTCTTAAGTGGAGCTAGCCTTAAATAAAAGTGACAGAATGCAGATAAAATGGATTAATTATGGGTCAGAGAACTTTATCTTGCTATTGTAGATTATAGAATTGTTTTTTCTTTCTTTCCCCAATCATTTGAATTAATGTTTTTCCTATTTGTAAAAGTAAAGCATGCTCACTTTAGAAAACTGGGGAACTCCAGAAAGGAATCAGGATGAAAAAAACAGGAAAATACACAGTGTAATATGTAACCAAAAAAAAATACAAAGATAGTACCTGGAAAATACAGTGTAAAACATTGGTTCTTTGTCCTCATCAGGACCATCTCCTTACATAAGTTTGGCTGGGCATACCTTTACTTGCTGAAAAATTGAAAATGTATTTTGATAATTTCATTTAAATTTTAAGTCTTTAGCTGCACAGCTTTACTTTTGTAAAGAGAAATGGAAAGCCTGTTTTACCTGCAAAGCAGTCTTCTGTAGGTGAGAGGAGAAATTCTCCTTTCATGTAATTTTAAATAGCTAAGTAATTAAAAATTTGCACTAGTCACATTTCAGGTACCCCATAGCCAATACATGGCTAGTGACCAACATAACTGACATTCAGCTAGGAAACATTTTCTTCACAGAAAGTTTCTGTTAAACTGCTGGTTTAGATACTGTCACAAAAAAAGTGGTTTAAAGAACTGGGATGAAATGCTTTAGGAAGGAAACAATAGGTCAATTAAAAGAATGAAAATGATCTATCTTTTGGGATTAGACTAGGTTGTTTCTATAAACAAAACCAGGAATTATAGAAAGAACATGCTACCACTTGAATGCCTTAAATGTCAGGTGCTGAGTTATGTAACTTGAGATTTTTGCCTCAATAATCTTTTAAGAATATAGCTTTCCAAAGATAGAAATAAGATGACTTGAAGCAGGTAATTATAGCGTTAGAGTAGGCCAAGCCGAGCCTAAATAACCATTTTTCAAAAATACTGGAATCCTGTAAGAAAGGTCATTAAATGTGCTCTAAAATTCTGTGACTTAATACCTATGGAACTGAGTTGGGAAAATGAAGTGTAGCATTTGCTGTTTAATATATATGTACTTTTTTCTGTTAGTTTTCATTCTTGTTGGGCTTCTTTAAGAGGTCTCCATTGAAGAGTGTTGTATGCTATTGTGTGCGCGCGCGTGTTTGTGTTATAGGCCAAATTGCTTTATGTAAAGGAGTGGAACAGCAAAGTAGAAGAGACAAGGTGAATTAGAGAGATGACACTCTTGTTTAAGAGGTTAGCCCTATTTGTTGCCCTGGGCAGCTTTTTGTCATAGGTCCCAAAACTGTACCTCATGTAATACAAATTACAAGTCTGTGTTTATTCATACATTAGACAGCTTCATTGCACAATTTTATTTTGCATACACATTTGCTTAACACTCATTGAATTTCTAGACCAGTTTCAGGCAACTGGAGAGCCTTTATAAGTAATTTATACTGTCTAGACCCAAGGTATGCAGTAAACACAGTCTGAAGCAAAATGGGAAACAGCATCTTTCTAAAGACAGGTTTAGAAATTCTAATCCAGTAATTTAAGATGTTTCCTTTCTCTGGTAGCAGAGCTGAGTTATACCTGTAAGAAAACATGGATTCAGTTCACAAGAAAGGAAGTTATTTATCAAGTAGCAAGTTTAATACACTATATATTAATTCCAGAAGTCTTAACATGAAACTAGTTTCATGTTAAATAGTAAGGTAATAATACTCTTCAGTGTCTTTTAGTCCCCAAAATTTTTTTTCTCTGTTTTATCTCTAGCGGTTCACGGAGCATAGACTATTTAATGCAAGAGTTCATCTGAGAATAAGATATTTTAGAATAGCAGGCTTTTAGCTACTCATTTTTTGATGGAGTTTTCCTTTAGTGGAAGTGCTCAAACTAAAAATACGGTGTTTATAAAGTAGCTTTCATGCCAGACATCACGTTTGCAGCTTTGTAGCTGGCATTCAAAACACGAAGTTAAGAACCTAAACTACATACCAAGAGACACAGTATAATAAATTTCTAGAACTCTTCAAGTTCTTGAGAAGTAATTTTTGATTATGTATAAAAAAGTTTTATTAGCTCAAAGTTATGACTTTAAAAATAGAAACTCCTTTGAAGTTCAAAGTTATACATTTTCCAGGCAGTCATTTATAAAAGTTTCTCAGTGATTATGAGAAAGAATCCTACCTGGCTGCTAGGCCTCCATTCACAGGAATAGCCAAGAAAACAGGGTAAAGACCACCCAAAGCAAGACCAACCAATCCTCCCCGTGTTACGGTACAAGTTTCACAATTCAAGTCACCTAGAAAATAAGTTGTGGAAATAAGGGTCATGACAGTCAAGCAAACGTGATTTAAACAACGCAAGGTTCCCTTTTATGTATCAAATTTTCAGGCAGTAATAATGGCAAATGCAATTCTACTGTGCATGTTAAAAGGTATAAATAACTGCATGTATACAGAGCCTTAGCCAGCCAGGAATAATATAAAACCATCTTAGGAAAAGTTCTCTTAATATGTTCTACATTTGAATATAATCATATTGATTTGTACTTCTAGCTTTTTGCATTTATACTAGCAAACTAGAGCTAATATTTCTGTTAAGAAACTTTAAAACAATTCCTACGTCATCTTATATTACATAGTTTGATGTCACTTTATTTTTATAAAATTATTCAATTCCAAATTGTTTATTAAAAATGGCTGTTTTCACTCAGCCTGTTCAGTTCATTGGGTAGTAGGTCTCTGGATCCTAAAATTTCTTTTCATACTGAACATGGTCAAGCAAAATACAATACACATACAGTTTACACAGCATTTAATTTGGGATAGCTATGGACTGTCTCCTTCCTCATAATCTCTAGTACTATTTTGAAACCATTAATTAGAATTTTTTTTGTGATTAGCTATTCTCAAAGCACTCAGCACACACAATAAGCTGACAAGAAATCAAGAAACCATGTTATGTTTGGTAATTATTAACTACATAAAGAGTGTTAGTAATATAAGGATTTTTTTTTTCCCTTTAAGGAAATTTTTTGTTTTTAAAAACCTAATGCAGTCAGCATTTAAATAAGTATTTCATATATTTTTTACTCTGAGCACTGTGGAAGTGAGATAAAGGAAAATATTTAAAACTGCTGGGTATGCTTTTTTACTTGTTTTGTAAGTGATGCTAATATGAATAAATTGCCACTTACAAAGAGGCTAGAAATTCTAGTTCAGTCGTACCAAAGTGCTGAGACTATATTATAGCAATGTAGCTATTTGATATATAAAATACTTAAGGATTAGTGTAAGGCATACAGATTATGAAAACAAACTCTGCGATGATAGTGATATAGAACTTACCTGTATTCAAAGGTAAATTTACAAAACCTCTGTAAGATAAATCCGCTGTCAGAAATGGGATCACTGCCATCGGTAAGCCAGATGCTATACGAGCCTGTGTCACATGTAAGACACGCCGGAAAAGACTATTTGCTATTAGTCCACAGAGAGCTGCGTTAATTCCAACATACGTTGACCCATGTTCAAGTAGATTCCTGAGTGGGCGAGGGAAAAAACCAGTAACGTTTTCTTTGGTTTTATGGTGTGTGTGAGCTCTCCAACAATTCTGGCATGTTACAGAATTTATCAGGATTTTTGGAGCAATAGGATAAAACATTTATCCTCTAACATAAAATAGAACCTTTTAAAATCATGTTTTACAAGATTTTTATTTTAAAGATTTGAGAATGTAAACACAATAGTCAGGTCTTACTAAATGTATTTTGTGATTTTGCAAAGGATATTAGTATAAAAAGTTCCCGCAAACTATACAGCAGGGGAGAAGTTCTGAACAGTGATTTTGATTTGAATGCCTCTCTGGTATCTACAATATCTAATACTTAACCTCTCTAACTCATCATGGTATAAAATGATCCTATTTTATAATTATAGTGATTTACACATCAGGTTTCCCATTAGCCTGTAAACAACTTGAAGGTGAGATAGGATATATTCTTGGCTTCTCTAGCACCTTGACTCATAGAAAGCATTCAATGAGGTGTAGAGTTAATGTTTCTTTTCACACTTCCCTGAAGCTTTGGCATTGGGTTGGAGGTGTGGGTGGGTTGAAGGAGTACTAACATTTGAGGAATACATATTGTAGGTGCTTTACAGCAACCTATTGAAATGCTGATAACGCAGATAATTTAGTGGTATGTCTGGTTGAGTTTAAAATTCATGTCCTATGCATTCATCAGCTTTGGAAAAAAACAATACCAACAGGTATTTCTGGGTAATGAAAATACTCCAAACTCTTCAGTCTGCCCTTTAGTTTTTTTAACCATCTGTCCTGCCATCTGCTACACAAGTATCAACTACTTAAATTTCTCATTACTTTTCATTTGGACACACTAGCCACACCACAACTCCTGTAACTTCTGCGGTAACACCCATCTTAAAGTCATTTTCTATAGAAATTCTAGTTGCGTTTCCTACATTGTGTAAGGTAGTAACCTTTCAAACTTGTCAGGTTTTACTGACAGTCAAAATAGTGTTTGTCATTCAGTCACTGAGTACCCACTATGTGCAGCAAGCTTGGTGTTGAAGACAAATCTACCTTCACTTTTTCCAGTTTGCTACTGGAAGATCAGAGAGATGTAAACTTGAGATGGAACCTCTCAAGTTTACAGTATAGGAGGAAAGGCAGTTTAGAAACAAAGGATTACACAAGATACTATTTAGGGAATGGTGATAATCTAGAGAACCTTTCAAATAACATCAGAAAATGAATATGAAAGATGTGTATTTTTGTGTAGGCTGAGGGAACTGGGAACTTGAGCACTTTCTATAAAATATTAATTTTATCTTCATAATCCTGAGAAATGTTCTACCCACATTTTCATCAAAATGGAACCAATACTCGAGATTTTTGTCCATAAATTTTCTATATTACATAAACAATTTCTAAATTACAATTACATATGAATGTTAAAGACAGTAAAAAATTGCCAAATACATAAAACAAGCAGTGCAACAGTCTGAATAGCAAATTTGCTGTTAGCATCTATTCTATTCTGGCTCTCCCTACTAGTACGGGCCTGGAAACAGGGCCTGCAATCTTGCTTGAAAGGCTTTTCTGTTCAGGAAAACCATCCAACAGCATGTATATGTGTTGTGGGGCAGTGGGGAGGGTGTGGGATAAACAACCTGTGAAATTTCACCAAGTTCTCACTACTGCCCTTGGTTAATATGTTCTCCTTTGCTGAAATGATTAAGTAGCACTGAGAGTGGAATTTGGCTAAGACAGTAAGATTATACCTCCAAAATGTATTTTAAATCCAGCCTTTTCTTCATCTCAGCCCACCATCCACCACCATCTCTCACCAGGATTACTATACCTGTTATCCTACTGTACTTCCCCATTTCTCCTATCTTAAGCCTAATTTCTAAAAAGCAAGTGGAGTGTTCTTTAGAAAGGTCAGCTGGATCACTACATCCCACGCTTAAAAAACCCGTTCCTCCAATATGTCCACTTCCCTTGAACTTCAGTAACTCTTGGTTCCTCAGAATGACAAAGTGCTGCTGTCCTGTGGCCTAGCATATACCTCCGCCTCTGGGATCTGTGGCGCGGCCCCCCCCCCCCCCCAGCTGGCTCCTTTTCATCCCTTTTAGTCTTAGATTTTTAAGTTGGAGAGGCCTTCTTGCCAGCGAGGTCTAAACATTTCGTAGAAGTAAACTAATTCACTCCATGTTGTCTTAGAAGATCGGTGTGTTTTCTAGATCTCCTTTTTCTGTTTAATGACCCCTTAAAGGTCTTTCAGCAATACCCATTTTGCTAACACTCCTCTTCTAGCTGTGTGGGTAACGGGCCTCTCAGGCTGTAAGCACAGTGATACAAGGGCTATTTTCAAGTTTTGTTATTTGGAGTCCATTTCTTAGTGTGAGTCCATAAATGCTCACATTTGACTATATGCTGAGCCAAATGGGAAACATTTGCACCATCATACAATTAGGAATGTCCAAACGTGAACACTTGCAGTGACTGAGAGCAAAATGATTATTAATCTTTCTGGCCCTTAGTTTTCTCATCAAGGCAAAAGACCATTTCCTTCTGATACTTTGTTTATACTCAAAATAATATGATGTAATAAATTAATGAAAACCCACCTGGCAAATAAAATATTTTTAATAAGGGATCTTACCTGTCTGCTTCTGGAAGTTGGTTAATTTTTCTGGCTATAATGAAAATTAAGTTTTCTTTGGCAGTATCACCTGGTTCATGATTTTCCATGTTGAGTAGTAAATTAATTTTTCAATAATGTGTATCTATAGAAAAAGAGTGTTTATAAAAAGTCTTAAAACCATGACTTTAAAAACAAGTAGTTATAAATTGAATTCATAATCTGAAAAATCAATGCATATACACCACAGCGAAAAAATAATTTCCAAGTGATACAGAAACCAGAACATGAAAGGGACAAAATACAGAGCTAGGAAATAACAGAATATCTTTATAACCTTTAAAAATAATGTAGCTTGAAGGGCCTCCCCTGGTGGCGCAGGCGTTTTAGCGCCGCGCTGTGAGGCTCTCTGCAGCCTCTGCAGCGCTGGTTCAATCCCTGATGGCTGGGGAGCTACCCACATGGCACAGCAGACATCCCCCATCTCGCCCGCTGCTCCCCTCAGCAGTGTATTTCGTCAGTCTGTTCTGTTCCCCGCTCTGTCTCTGGTGAATCCTCTCACCTGCGCATCTGGCCTGTACCCCGGTTCTTGTATAAATAAATAAATCTTAAAAAAAATACATAGCTTGGAAATAGCACTAAATGTAAAAGAGAAAACTGATAGTAACGAAAACTGATTTGCATTCATCAATTAGATACTTTAAAGATAAGCTGATCTGAGTATTTGCAATATAACTGGCAAAAGAGTAATTAGTATGCAGATAGAATAACAAGAAAAAAGGCAAACAACACAAGAAAATTTGACAAAGTTTGAACAATCACTTCGCAAAGAGTAAAGTGAAAACTTCTGAAGTATGCTTGACCTATCATAATCAGGGAAACAAAAGGGGAAGATGCTGAAAACTGACAATTGCTGGCAGGAATGCTGGGGGTGCTGCTGGTGGGCGTGTAAACTACCCGACTTGGCCACAACCACGCTGGACAAGAATTCGGTATTTAGTAGAGAAGAGTCACCCCCGGGCCATCTTAGTTCTAGTTCCGTCCTGGAGCAAAGGTCAGCAAACGTCTCTTGGGGCCAGACAGCGGCTACTGTGGCCTCTGCGGGTGCAGGGATGGTTCCTGCCCGAGGCCGCTCCACGGCACCTCAGCGTTCTCCGCGGGGTGCCGCGCGGACGCCCCCTGCGGACGCGGCCCGGGCGGCGGCGCCGATCCCCGCGCTCTGGGGAGAAGGCCCGCGAGGGGGGAGGCCTTGGCCCGACACTTCGTCGAGCAAATTGCCGGGCAGCAGTTGCGAGAAGCCGAAGCTCGGAGCTGACGCTGCGGGGCCCGGGGGCAGGAAACCAGGCGTTTCTGGCCGCGGTTTCCCGCGGGGGTTGGACGGCGGCTGCCGCGCGAGGGGCCTGTGGGGAACGCCGAGGCGCCGGCACCCGCGCCCCTGCCTCGTGCGCACCAGGTGGGTCTGGAAGGGTCTGTCTAGGTTTCCGGGGTTCCAACTTTTGGGGGGCCCGGGTTACAAAGACAGGGTAGGCCGCCCCGCCCCGCAGGAGCTGTCGACGCGCGCGGGGCGGGCGCGGGCCGCGGGCCTGAGGCGAGTCGTTTCCTCAGGAGCGTCCGCGCGGCCGCCGCCGTCCGCGCGCCTCAGAGCGGGGCTCGCCAGAGAGGGGGCCGGGGGCGCGGGGGGCCGGGGGGGAGGGGCGCGGGGCTCGCCGTTGGGGGCGCGCGGGGGAGCCCCGAAGCGCGCCCGCCGCGGTCCCCGACCCCCCCCAGGCCAAAGCGCTGGTCAATGCCGCGGGGCGTCGGGAGGCGGCCGCGCGGGCTCCCCCCGCGCCACCCCCACCGCGGGCCGGAGGGGGCCGAGGGCGGGGAGACGAGGCCGGTCGCGGAAACGGCCGCGCGCCCGGGGCCCTCGCTCGCGCCCCCTTGGACGGAGGGTCCCGGCGGGGAGGCAGCGGGCGCCTCGGCCAATCCCCCGGCCCGGGCCCCTCCCCGCGCCGCCGAGCCCGACACCGGGGCCGGGCCGCCCCCCGCCCCCAGCCCCCACGCCGGCCCCTTACTCTCGCCCCGCGGCGGGCGCCGCCTCCGAGCTCCTCAGCCGCGCACACGCCCGCGGCAGCCTCCGCTCGGCTCGCAGGGCGCCGCCATGCCGGACACGTGACCGCCGGCGGCACCGCCCTCTGGGGGCTGGGCGAGGGACCCGTGGGGGGCGGGGCGGCTGCTTCCTAGGGGGGCGGGGGGTCGCGCTGGGGGGTGGCCTCCGCAGAGGGCGGCGAGCTGGCGGTGCTAATTATCAGCTACTCCCACCTCCCGCGCCAGGCATTACAGTGATTGTAAAACTTCGGGTGAAAGTTGCGTGACCCCAAACCTGCCCTTCACTGCAAAACCACCTTGTGCGCCTGACTGCTGGGCCAGCACAGCTGCTCTCCAGGTGTTGGCCGGGAGCAGGGGAAAGCTGCCCCGCTGCTGGCATACCCTGGGTGCCCACTACCCCAGTCTCCCAGTCTCCCAGTCTCTGTTCTTGGATCTCAGGCTAGGCCACATTTGAGCCAGTATCTCACTGTGATAGGGCAGGGAGAGGAGCGCCCCAGAACCCCCAAACCTGCCTGCTCTAGATAGATTCTGCCATCTGCCGCATCAACACAAAACATGAGACTTTAATGGGAAGGAGCTTTAATACAATTAGGAACCAATACAGGAAAGGCAAAGACTCTAGTTTCTAAATCAAGCACCCAATGTTACCTGTCCCCTCGTGGGTAAAAGTCCATCCAAGCAGGATTGGCCCGGAGCAAGGCCCCAAAGCCTGCCCCAAGTCTAAAGCACCTTCCAGTGGGGACCCACAGAAAAGGGTCAGAAACAACCAGACAAGTCTAGAAGGAAAAGAGCAAAATCAAGACAAAACCCACCACTGTCACCTCCCCACGGGTCTCTCACCCACATCTGTGTCACCCAGTCCAGGACTGAGAGGCAAGTGCAGCTTCTCCACATGTCTCTTGGCTCCATGTGCCTCCTCCAGGCCTCCTCTGGCTCCATCCTGCTTCCTTTCTTCTCAGTCTCTTCTGCAGCTTCTCTTCCCTGCTCAGCCCCTCCCTCCTGTGGGTAGCAAGGAAACCTGAAAACTCCCCCTTTCCTGGGGACCACCCTGTTACATCACTATAATCCATCCACCTCTAGAGCAGGATCTTTTTTCCCCCCTGAGGATCCCTGGTGCCCTAATGAGTACTGACTGTAACAGGAACGACTGAATGGCAAAGAAAAACTAAAGAGTGAGGGTGTTTGTTGGCTCTATCAGTCTGGACAATTTAAGAACCAAAGTCTTGGATTAGTACTCTGAAGATCTCCAGCTCTTTTTTTATCCTCGCGGCCTCCTTCCTCATCTATAAAACAGAAGAGGAAATAATACTGGAGTTTATTAATTTGTGATGTTATGAGGATCTGATAAAATGCTGAACGAGGTTGTTTTGAAAATCAGTGGGTTTTATCAAAGACGTAAACTTGATCCATAAGATAAACTGAAGAAGAGCTGCTGCAACTCCTGGGCTGAGAGAGATTTATCTGATGTCAAATCTTCTCCAGTCAATATGCGAGAAAATTAATACAGGTTCTCAGATTCTGAGGCAAAAGTCAACACCAGCCCCAATTGGAAATTTGAAGATAGATGCAGAGAAAGTTGAGGAAAACCAGTTTAGTAATTCGCTAACAATAATGTGTGTGAGTACTTTGTTTCCTAATACCCCACTCCCTTTTATACTTTTATTTCAGGTTCATTTTTAATGTTTTGAAGCTAATTTTGAAACAAATGTTAGTTCGGTTCAGGATCAGTAGCCCATTTTGGAATAATAAAGGTAATTTTAATATATTTGTGAGAGGGCAGGGTGAGGGGCATCCCACAACCCCTAAACCTGCCTGCTCTAAATAGGTTCTGCCATCCACTGCATTAAGAAAAAACATACTCTAGTGTGCAAGGTCATTAATGGAAAAGAACTTTCATACAATTAGTGTGGAATTGTTAACCTCCCAATGTGTCTGTCATCCACATCTGCTTCAACCAGTCCAGGGTCAAGAAGCAAGCACAGTTTCTGTTATAGGGCCGCCCTGATATGAAATAGGTTGCGTGACTGTGGGTCGTCACCCGCGTGCTTAAAAGGGATTTATTAATGCTAAACTGCAGACACACACAAAAGGTAGATGAAAGGTTTTACAAGGGAAGGGGAAATGAGGAAATGAATAACTCAGGGAGCAAAAGAGGGAGATAAATTCATAAATGCGTCCTACCCGTTCCTCTGACCTGGAATCCCAATGACCCACTGAGCTGGCAAAAAATCACGCACCATCAGGCCAAGAGCACGACCCTCCCACTACCCCCTCCCATGGCAGGTTAAATACTCAAACAGAGAACATGGCTGCTTAACTCCACTCTCAGGTCCTCGCAACCTTTCCTTTGGGGATCATGGGATTTGTAGTTCCCAGTGTCTTGATGGAGTGGGGGTGGCATCCACAAAGCCTGCATGGAGTTTGCTCAGGACATCCTTTCCCCCTAACATTTCTTTACGTGTTTCTCAGCTCCGTGTGCCTCCTCCAGGTCTCTTTCTGGCTCCATCCTTCCTCCTTTCTTCCTCCATCCCCTCCTCAGCTCCACCCTCCCTGGGTGGGACAGGGAACCTGGAGCCTCCCATTTTCCTTGGGACCACACTGTTACATATTGAGATTAAAAATATTAAAGGGAATTCTGAACTGGACACAAAGAAATGGTAAAATTTTAAGTAGGTAGAGGACCTTACAGGTAAGAGGCAGTTATCAGAAAGTTTAAGATACTTTAGGAAATGGCTAATATGGCTTGGTTAATGTTTAATATTATGGAAAGAAAATGAAATCATCTACAAAATGAATATGTTCAGTCCCAAGATATAGAGAAAATTAAAAAGTCTGGAGATGAAGCAACAGAAAATGACATTACTGGTCACCATTTACTCTGTGACTTCTAATGAAGTGGTACCTTCAATCCATTCTCCACAAGGACTTTATAGTACTGAATATATTAAATTACATATTAAAATCAGGTTATATTACACCCTACTAAAAACACTTTAATAACTTTAATGACTTTGAATAAGAGAGTTTTTGTGCTGTCTCTCCAATTCAGGGTTGTTTAACCTTTAGGCTCCATAGTGCCAAAGAGGTCATAATTGCAGTTTCTAGATTTGCACAGCTATAAAGATTTATTTTCATAAAAGTGTGACAGAAGGAAAATTCTAGTGTTCCCTTCACACACTTAATCTTCCATTTCAAAGTTTTAAATCAAACTCCCAAATACAGTGTTCTGCTCAGTAGGCTGCTCACCAAGATGAAATTCCACTACAGCTTCTCTACATCTGTCTGTATCTTAGTTATGTAGAACTATGAAACCAACTGATGCAGAATAATGGGAAGCAGGGAAGAGGTAAAAATAAACCAGAATACTATAAATTCAAGGCTAAGGATTTTCTCTCTTTTGTATGCTGTATTTTCAAAGAGACATTCGTTATTGAATATGGGGGTGAAATATTCATGGCTGCACTTTGATAACATTCACGTAGCATTGGAAGAGGAAGCATAGAATCAGTGATACTAGTTAGTGGGTCCACATCAAAAAGGCAAAGACGAAAGGCAAAACTTGTACTCAAAAGTTGAAAGGTCAAATTCCTGTTTATATCTGGACCCCTACTGTTTCAGAAAGGTCGTGGCAACATTATCCATCTCTCTGGTCATGGCAACACTATTTATATTGCTGCACAAGCCAGAAACAACGGTCCTACATCACTGCAATGTAGACTAATCAACCTTCCATTGATAGCCCTCCTACATATCCTTGACACCATTTATCTCTCACACAAGCACTCAGGGTACTCTTTAGTCTCACAGCCTCCACTCTGTCTTCCTGTCAAGTATTCTTCATGTCGCAGTTAGGGGAATTTTAGGTGAGTTTTAGCTGTGCACTGAAGGGAGAAGGGATAGAAGCTATAATGCCCCCGACAAGCATAGCTGTTTCTGGAACTAGCAAATAAAGAACTATTTGTCTCTGTTCATAAAAATGAAAGCATTTGTTTTGACTTCACGGAAGCTTTGAGAAATAATGAAAGACAAGAGATAATTTTACTTTCTCATAGTCTGCCTGAACTT